TCAAACCCTAAATAAGGGGAAGTAGGATTTTCATCTTTCATACTCAACGCAGCCTAATAATGAAAAACACAAACAAATAATCACGGTGACTATAAATATGAGCATAGTATTAATATAATATTAACACAATATTAAGATTAAAGTGTGAAATATCAAATGAATATGATATTAACTGTTGCGCCGGTACGGCATGTGCATATAGGCATGTGGTAAATCTCTTCCCAACCTTGGGCTGTGAAAATGCAGTTTTATTCACCTCGGTTTTTTGCTACGGACCTCGTGCCTACCGGCACTCGGTCCTCCGCACAAAAACCTCGGTGAATAAAACGCATTTTCCCAGCCCCGGTCGGGAATATATAATCCCGCGCACGTGTAGGCACGTAAACGATATGATACAGTTAAAAGTTCCCACCAAATGCCTCGAATTAAACTATACCTACCGCTCTATATAATTCAACTCTTAGGTATAACGCTAAATCAGTACGAAGTCGTTTGTTGCAGCCTTAAAAATTTGAATGCAATGCTTGTAAAAAATGCGGATAATTTGCGGATAAATGCGCATTTTGGATAATTTTGTCTGCGAATTCAGCGAGAAGCAGACTCGATGAACGGCACATTTTCTCGGTACAGAAAAGCACGATTTTCCAAGCTATCTTTGGGGGTGAGGGGACCGGGGAGACTGTGAGTCTGTGAGCTTTCCAAAGCATCCTTTCTTTTCCAATATTTTCAAAGAAAAATTTATGCGCTGCGATTTGACAGCTCATCATTCATTCAGTGACACGAAAAGCCTCTCATTAATCCACACCCAGCCACCACTCCAGACTCCAGTTCACCCGCCGCCTCCCGACGCGACCCCATGCAGCCGCCCACTCACCCGGCCTCCCTCCCCGTGTCTCCCGAAATTTATCGCGCCATGTCGGCCGCTGGCTGCCCCACGTTACGGTGGACCACCGCTGACAGTTGCCCAACGTTCGGAGAGGCAGTGAGCGGGGGCGGTGGGCGGTGAGCCGGGGCGGTGGGCGGTGGGAGCTGTGAAGAGTCGGCCGGTTGCGTCACACGCTGACCCACAGTGCGGCAGTGGCCGGCCGCTCGGACGGCTCAGTGGCCATGACCGTGCCGCAGGCGTGGGATGGGCCGGACTGGCGGCTGGTCGAGGCTTACCGGCGTGGGATGGGCTGAGTCGCCGGCGGCCTGGGATGGGCCAAACCGGTGGCTAGCCGTGCTGTACCGGGCTGGAATGGGTCGGGATTTATCAGAGCCAGAATTGGAATGGGCCGAACGATGGAATGGGCCGAGCTGTATTGTATACGGGTTGAAATGAGCCGTGCCATGCCGGCAGAGATGGGCGGTGTCGTATCGGACTCAGATGCGCTCGGGCTGTGCCGTACCGGTATGGAATGAGCCGAGACTTACAGTAGAGCTGGAATGGTCCAAGTCTTGCCGGAGCTGGGATGGGCCGAATTGTACCATGCTGGGAAGGGCTGAGCCTTAGGTGTGTACCAGGATTAACTACACAACAGCAAGAATGCCTCAACTCCAGTAATCACAGTCAAAAAGTAAGAAGGCATTAACATCCTCCGAAAGGACATTTTGCATTGATGTAAATACTCTTAATTAAAAAGAAGAAACGAGTGTGCGGGCTAGAGTCAAGCTGGATCGGGCTTAGTATGACTCGGACTTTTGTCTCAGGTAACAGCAGCATTTTTTGGTTTGTAGTCGTTAAAAATCAAATCTATTTGAAGCAGGGAAGTCACTTGGAAGCGCAGATAATAACAGGCTAGTAAGAATGTGCAAATGGATGCTTTTGATTCAAAGGAGCAAATGTGCAAAAGAACGGCACGCCTTTTGGCCTCCTGTGTCCCGCAGAGACAAGTGACTGCCCAGTGACAGTGTGACCATACAGTGACCGATAATGCTTCTTTTCTGTGCTGGTCAATAAACAAGTGACCGACAGCCGGCAGTGATATCATCCCACAGCATGGCCAGCATCGGTAGCTATCATCAGGCTACAATGACCGCTGTCACTGGCTAATGATCGGTGACCTGTGACCTGTGACCAGCTACCAATGAGCATCTTCCAGTGACCGTCCATCAGTGACCACCAGTGACCAGCGACTGGTCTCGTGACCTTAACCCTGAAAGGTAGAGCACCAGCCGCCGGCCGTTAAGGCGTCTGTCGCAACGTCCAATTACCATAGCACTGGGTCTCCGGGACGGCGGCGGCTCTGTGTAGAGGGAGGGAGGAGGGAGGGAAGACGGGTCAGGTCTGCACATATTGTGACACACCCGAGCCGGCCCCAGAGGAGAGGGGGAGGTCACAGGGGCTCGGGGTCACAGGGTATTCATTCCCGCCCGCTCACTTTAGGGCCATTCAGGCCCGGTCCCGACTGGGCTGGACCGGTTCGTCTTTGAGGATTCTCCACCGGTTACATGGTCCAATCACAGCCCGTTCTCGGTACCTATAGCACCAGTTTCCTAAAAATGACAGCGGCGCATGTCCCCCGGGTCTGTTAGTGACAGAGATGGTGGCTTGACATCAACAAAATCAGCACTGCGTGGCATTGGTAGCGGAAGCCATGCGTCAAATTGACGAAATCGACATTGTTTAGGTATTGATGGAAGAGGCCGTTAGTGACACTTGACAGCATTGTCGACTGTTATTCTTTGGTTTAGACATGTTGGTTTACGGATCCCTGGATTTCGTTAACGAGGCACGTGGTTCAATGGTGGTTAGATCCCGGTTTATCAGTGGTGCAGTCAGTGGCTATTTGGATAAGCGTTCACCGCCCACCTGCAGACTGCACTGTGCAGACGTCCCCTTCTATGTTCCACGGTGAACCGAGCTGGCCGCTGCAGATGAAGGAGGGCTGAGTGCAGGTCGCACGGACATGAAAGCCACATTGCACAATCTCTCCGACAACCCTCTCTCAGGTCACGAGGGGAAGGGAAAAGCTTTCAGTGATATATGTCATGAATCTACTTTATTTGACTGTGAGCAGTCATAGAATTCTGAGAAGAAAGCAAGTTTTGATGTTTCCCAAGAAGGTCCAAATCCACATATAATTTTCGGGTCCATGAGCTATGTGACACGCAGGCAAGGCGAACAAGAGACCTGTTGTGAGCTGTTTGATTAAACGTTTTTTCCCGCATCTGCTGAGACCTGTGCCTTATCGCGTACGTGAGCAATGATCAAAGAGTGTTAAACAATGCATAAACGAATTAACGATGCCCTTATCGTGCTTATTGGATAAACAAATATTCCGTTCGTATTCTTGATTACATAGAACATTCAAGGCTTCAAGTAATATAGCTTTACAGGGTTCTGTTTCAACGGCTTCAACTGCAGCCTCGCTGAAAACCTGCATGACGATTATTTCCTGTCGAGTGGATGCAGCTTCTTTCGCATGGGAAGTTCAAAAAAGTTAGTCGTGCATCGTTACGTTATCGCACGCCATATAACTCGCTCTTCTATCAAATTCATACAAACGTTTGAAACAGGGCATTCATGTAAAATAGGGCAAACATTAGAACAGGCATATCATTTGAGATAATCAAAATTCTGAAAAAGTTTGAGAGATGAATGACAATATGAAGATGACTCCAAATATGAAGTGTAGTGTGCATTATGTGCATTTTACTTCATGAACGATTTCAGTGCTAAGTGTTTATGATTATCAATGATTATCAAGAACCATGACTTTGAAATTTGATACGGACAGCCTAAACGGGTCTAGAGAAGTTCCGTGCATGTATGTCAATTGTTCCTTAACCCTCGCCCGTATTGGTATTTTTCCAGCCGCGAACGTATAATGGGGGGGGGGTCCAACGGACCCCCCCCCCCTTGCCGTTTCGCCCCTGATCGAGCTAGAGCTTCGCGGAAAAAAAAACGAGCGTGTTGCCCGTGACGAGAGGAAGCCAATGATACCCAATTTTAAGGTCCTAGGTCATCGGTTGACCTTCCAGGTCAGGTCAATGACCCAAATGTCGGGAAAATTGGGACCTGTTAGAAAGTCGTAAAGCGTAGCTGCCATGGGGTTTTCGGGGTGCTGATCACGAATATCATGTTAGTTTTGATCACAGATGATGTCTTCATGCATTTAGACCAGGTCGGGTCAGGTCAGGTCAGGTCAACCAGTAAGGGTATTCGTAGTAGGTGGCAACCGCCTCTGACAGCTTCGTAACATGTTACGAAGGCACCAAAACTACTTCGTAAATGTTTATATGGATGCTAAATTCGAATTCAGCTCCAAAAACTGGCCTAGAAACATGTAAAACTCGAAAAAGTGAGCCGAGGTCATCAAAGGTCAATGACCTGACTTGACATTTCGGTGACCTGGACACCCACCCTCATGCATGGGAGCAACATCATATCCCATGCTTGAACGCTTAAAACCACGAAAAGACTGCAAACGCGCTGCTAATGCGAGCCGACATACGCCGAATCGCGATTCCGGCCAAACATGGTCTCAAAAAGTAGGTCACAGGTCAAAGGTCATTAGGGTCAGGGTCATTAAAATTTCAGGGTAGGTGTAAAATTGATTAACGCGAGGGTACTGAAAGTTTCGTCGCGATCGGCCGCTTTTTACGCGAGTTATTCGCGAAAAACCGAGAGGGGGGTCCGTTCGACCCCCCCCCCCCTCTACGGGCGAGGGTTAACTGACAGGTCATATTCAGAGGAGCTCGGCGGTTGGGTCGTTGATTGCAGACGTGAACCGACGACCTTGCATGTGGAGCCGTATACACAGATATGGGATTCCGTCCCGGCCGGAGGCACCTTCCGGTAAACATTGCAGCTACGAAAATATCACTCTGTCCGACCCTGCGCGGCTGGGATGGAAGTGGTATTGGAGTCGGTTCCCTCAGACAACTGGTGACGTGGTCGGCCGATCCCTGGCCGGGAGGCAGGCGAGCCGCGCTGGACGGCGTGATATTGCGGGCGGGCGCCGGCCGGTCGTCCAGACCGACCTTTCTCTCGGGCGTCAGAGGCGCCGCTCGACCGGCCATGACCTGCCGTCAGAGCACGTCATCCCGTGACCAGCGACACCCCATATAACCGGCGCCGCACGAGCGGTGGAGGCAGAACGACTGTGATACCCGTCCGAGGCCGACCCTCCCCGGAGCATCATGAAACTGGTGAGCACCGCTTCCCCGCAGCGGCCGGCGGGCGGGGGATGTAGCGGTCAGCGGACACATAAGAAGCCGTCCGTATATTGTGTGCAAGTGACCGAGGGCCGAGGTGGTATAGTGTGTTATAGTGGTGATCGTGGCTTCGCATGGAAAGTTCGTACGAATTATATTTTAGCACCCCGTTGACGCTACGAGCTCCAAGGATCTTTGAAAAAAAAAAAAATTCACGCACTCGTAAGATGTTCTTCTGAGCACTTGTTTGCGTTACCAATGGTTCAAGAGTATGAAACCGCTGGTCCCAATCTTCCTTCAACTATTCCTTAGCCGCCTTCCCCAGGTTGCTGGCCCTCTACCGTTTGGTCACTTTTCCTATTCGTGTTGCCGACACCGACCTCTCCTCTCTCCGACTCGACTTCCTCCTATTTCAGCTGCTCGCCCTCCCCGTGTTACTAACACCGTCTCCTCTCTTTTCCAGCTGGTCGCCCTTTCGTGAGGCTGACCACGTCTCCCCCATTTATTTCATCTTATCGTCCTGTTGGCGGTGGCCGCCTGTCCCGTGCGTCTGACACCGTCTCCCCCATTTCACTCGGTTGTCCTGCATAGGGCCGTCTATCCTCACCGCGTAACTGACCACGTCTCCCCCTGCTCATTCCAGTTGGTTGTCCTGTTGAAGACGGCCGGTCTGTCCTCCCGTGCGTCTGACACCGTCTCTGTCCTCCCGTGCGTCTGACACCGTCTCTCCTTTTCCAGCTTATCATCCTGCTGGCGGTGGCCGCCTGCCGCGCCGCTCCCCGGCCCGAGAAGCTGGATGAGCTGGAAGCGCGTCATCCCGACTTTGACGCCCAGATCCTGGAGCAGATCAACCAGCACACTGAGGACGGCGGCTACTCCCAACTGTGAGTTATATGCAGCGGCTTCTGCAAACTGTTAGTTACATATAGCCGCTTTTCCCAGCTGTGGGAAATGTTTTTTTCGGCTTTCCCATTTGGCAGTTTTTTTCCAACTATGAGTTACACAAGGCAGCTTTTCCCATTGTGAGTGGCATGCGCCATGCAGCGGCTTCTCCCAACTATCGTTCTGTGTCCGTGATTCTAACCGCACTGTTCCTCTGTCCGCGCCCAGGTTCCGCACGGAGAACGGTATCGTACAGGAGGAGCAGGGTCAGTCGTACCCGGGCGCCGAGCCGGGCACCGGCAGCTACGTCAAACAGGGCGTCATCGAGTACCCGCTCGACGACGGCAGCATCCTGGTGCTCAACTATGTGGCCGACGAGAACGGCTACGCGGTGCTGAACCCGGAGGCGCTGTCGCAGGCGCTGCCCACGCCGCCTCCGACCCAGTACCCGCCGCCGCAGGTGCCCGGAGCCGGTGTGCCCGTGCCGCAGCCGCTGCCCGAGTACAACCCGTTCCTGGGCCAGCAGTGAGCGCCAGCGACACAGCTTCACAGTCATACACATACAGACAAAGACATTCACATACAGACATATGAACGCAGACAAACACAAACCAGCAAAGCTATAACCGCTCAATGAGCGGCACACCATCCCTTGTATGCAGGCAGAGCAATCTTGTTATTGTGCAATGCGATGACTCAGTTATGAATAAATGACAATTATACCTAGAATTTGCTTATTGGACAATGCATATGATTAACAATCTTGCAGCTTTCTGCGACCTTTAATCCCATCCAGGCGGAGGACTCCCCTCCCCCCTTTGCCAGGCGCAAGTTATATACATAGAGTCTCAGTTTGCACGCGCGCACGTGCAGGGGGCCACTTCTTTATCTCAAGAATTGCTGGGCTGATTGTAACCGGGCATGACTCAAGTAGGGGGAGGGGTGGCTCCATCTTATTTCTAAAACTACATGTTAAATTTTCATCATTCAAACGTTAAATAATTCGATAGCCGGTAGCCCTGGAAAGCTTTCGAAGAAACGGTAACATTGTCAATCTCCAAGAAACTGATCGGCATGCTACGCCAAATCAAAGTCAAAATGAACAACATTCGGCCAAGCTCACGCACCATACTCGTACTCTGGCCGACGTGAAATAAGTCACATCGAAATTATTTTTGGCTTATACTTCTCAAGTGTATGGTGAAGCCATCCAGTGGGCACCGAGTCTGCACTTGGGTAATATGTTTCAGGTCAAAGGTAGGTCAGGTCAGGTCAGGTCACAAAAGGTCACTGAATTTTGATATGACATGACATGATCACGTGACACACATTTTATGGTCCGTATTGTTCAAATAATTAAGAAGGTGTCGCCTGTGCTTTCCATATACGGATCCAGAAAGGCGGTTTTGGATGCTGCGGGTGATATACCCATTTTTTTAATTCAAAAAATTTTCGGATTTCGATTCCTTACGCACTGCTCTACAGGTTAACCCTATTAGTGACAGGGGGGGGGGGTTATTTTTATCCACCCCTCAGGTTTTTCGGGAATATCTCCGAAACCGCTGAAGCTACGATGCTGAAATTTTCTGACTTTTCCTAAAACTAAATTGGGCACATTCCCTGAAAATTTCAAGTTCATAACTTTACCAGGGGCGGCTCCAGAGCACTGGGAATTGGGGGGTCCTATTCGTGAAGCGAGTCATTTGGGCGAAGATCACGATGCTGCGCCAGTTTTACGAACAGTGAATGAAAGGTATCATGTGATAACATATACAAAGTTATTGTGCATCCTCTTTTGACACGTTTTTGCCATAATAGGCGGATCCAGGCGTCCAAAAAGGGGGGTTATTTTTTACCTCCCAACATAGGTGCCCTGACACCGCCTATGCATGACCAATACAATTTTAGTCGTTCTCTCATAAGAAAATTGTAACATAACAAGACCATTGCCACCCTTTTTAGAAACAGTACCAACAAAAACCTTATTTACTATACTTTTTGTGTACCCCCAATCTCAATGATCTGTATCCGCCTATGATTTTTGAAAATGCATATTTTTAGGATCCATGTGAATTCCTGGTTCATTCTCTATCGATCGGCAAAAGTTTCGTTAAGATTGGTTCAGAAACCTGGCCGTGATAAACAGTAAAATGTATCTGCAATTTGCCCGTTTTTACCCCCCTCTACCCCCTATTGACATTTTTTAATTTTATTTTTTTTAGAAATGTAGATCTCGTTGAGCGAAATCGAATGCCGTTTGAATTTTGAAAATCGGCCCGTTAGATCTCGAGATATCAAGGGGGGGTCGTAAACAGCCCCCCCCCCTGCCACTAATAGGGGGTAGCCAGGAGCCTGCCACTAATAGGGTTAAAGCAAGCTTTTTCTGATAAAAGTTACTTAGTTTTTCTTTTTAGAAAAACGACAAATTCATCTATCTCGGGCGCATTGGTCCCAAATGCATCCCTCCTAGGCCCGCAAGTGGCGCCATCCGAAGCCATTTTCAGCTGGTTATGGTGCAGGTCAGGTCAGTATCGGATAAAAAAAAGTTTAAATTTAGAGGTTGGAAATTTTCAAAAACAAAATGGTGTAATTGTACAATGTGCAGTTTGAACTCAGTATCACAATTGGTGCTATTTGCTATGGTAAGCGACGTTTAAGTCGATGTATAGAAGATTTCTAATTGACAGTTCTAATGACCTACACTTTACTTGGTCGGGTGAAAAGCCCCATAACGTTTAAAAACACGCAGCGTCGATTTATTCACTCGCCCAACACTTGTTTTGTTTGCTCGACAATTCACGACAGGCATTCCTGGAGCACTACTGGCACAATAAGCTGAACCGTGCCTCCTTGCCTCAGCAGCTGTTTCACAGTAGCAGGTAAACGCTGGACAGTGGACAAGGAAGCAGCCTGGACAACGGCAAGTGATAAATTGCAGCGGCATAACGGCACTTAGAGGCAAAGAAGCTAAACGTGTGATCATCGAAAAAAAGTGCACAGAACCTCCAGGCGGTGTTCATCAGCATTGCGTTCGATAAAAATATTCAATCTGCTCAGTGCTCATTGTATATATCTGAAAACATTTGAAGAACGGCACAATATCTCAGATGATAGCAAGACAGGGCAGCAGCGAGCGTCATGTCGGGTCCATAAACTCATTGACATCCGCACTTCCACCTAGTCTGTCGGTGGATTGTGAATTGTAAACACACATTCCTCTCCCCTACCCACACAAGGCACCTTGCACTCCCAGGCTTCACCCGCGATGTGTCTATGCGTACACGAGCGACACCATGACCCTGCCGTGGGCCTGCCTGCCGTCATAGTCTGGCTCCGAGCCCTTCACCTCACACTGGGTCCGTTTGACACCGGCCGGCTAAGGTCCCCTAGATTGTTTATTGGGGCTTAGAGCACGCCGTTGACTATGGCCCTTTTGCGCCGAGTTTAGAAGCCCAGCAGGTCTCCGGCGCCCTTCCTGTAGTCCATGTTACCAGTGATGACTCCGTTCAGACGGCTGAGGACGGGCACCACGGCGCGCAGCTTCCACTGCTCCATGTTGTGCCCCTTCTCGGAGAGGTAGGCCACTGTCGTCTGCAGAAACAGGGCGGCATCGGGGTTAAAGTCGGTACTCAGTATCCGAGGATAGGGAGCTCAACAGCACTGGTAAGTACAGGCGCCGTTAAAAGAAAGCTATGAATCATGAAGGGTGTCCGATCTGATATCAACAATCACTGCCTGTTCAATGACCCTTTTACTATTCCCCTGTAGGTACCGAATTGCACCACGTCTGAGGTATGTGTTCGCTCCGTTCACTCACCGGAGGGAAGCCTTCGTCATAGTTGAGTGTCATCGGGAACAGTTGATGGTGGAACCTCGGGAAATCGTTGGCCGTCTTCACGTCCTCATCCAGGTACAGGTGACGGAACGCAACCTGAAAACGGCCATGGTTGCGGTAAAATCGCACAGATACATAATTATCCATCACGGAAAATTCGCATCCAGCATCATTCAAGCTGTAGAGCCCAAGATGCTTTTCAGTGCAGGCGATACTTTTGTAAACATTTTAATCCTCTTCGCCTATACTGCAAAGATGATCGCGGTCCCAATGTATCCCTGTCATAATATTCATAAAGATAATACATACAGCATAAGCTGTCTGACAAGCTCTAACATCCTGAACCTATAAGATCACTATGACCACGCCATCGGCAGTCGACTGACCAGGGCGGTAGCGGTGGTGATGCGCGATCCGCCCGCGCCGCCCACCACCAGGCGGATGTCTCCGGACGGATCCACAAACAGAGACGGAGACATGGACGACACCATCATCTTTCCTGTGACGCAGACAAAGAACATGGAAATGCGTCAAAATATCGCCTCGGTAAAACAGCAAACAGGTGAATTATAATCATCATGCAACAGAGCGAAATGTTTGACGAAATATGTCTGTTTGAAAGTCAAATCTAGTTACCTCTCAGGCGATAGACCCCGCCCCATTTCACCTGGCTTGATGAAATTGCTCGGTGACGGCGGCAGGTTGAAATAGTTCTTCATTCCGGGCGTGGAGAAGTCGTCCATCTCGTCGTTGAGCAGGATGCCCGTGCTGGGCGAGATCACCTTGGCGCCGAAGTGCAGGTTGACGGTGCTGGTGACTGAGACGGCGTTACCCTCGGCGTCGATGACGGACACGTGCGCGGTGCCCGAGTCGGAGACGGGCGCCACGTCCACGCCGTAGTGGTCCGGGTCGTTGAAGGTGCGCGAGTCGTCGATGAGGCCGCGGATGTACTCGGCGTAGTCGCGGGACGTGAGGTTCGCCATCAGCTGGGGGCCGGTGATGTCGTCAACAGCTGCAATTTACTAGTTATAGATGGCATTCATCAATCGTATTTTGGAAATATCACAGTGAATCGGGCTGCTTAGGTGTGGCAGTTGATCGATCGCGCCAGATCAATCCCGGGGACCGTTATAGACTGTCAATCCACATTTTTAGGAGGTAGACGGACTATGCATTCGATAAACGTAGAACTAGAAGTTAGTCTAAGTGTAGAATTTGGTCTTTAGTTATTAGGAAGGTTAGGAAGTAAAGACATAAGTATCAACTTTCGTTGGTCCGCATCATCAGGACACAGTGTCTTACCTCAGAAATATCCACGAACTCGGGATCAGCGAGCTCCGTCCTCCGAGCGAAGGCGTATTTGAACGCCTCGGCTATCCGGTGGTACATGAGGTTCAGCTGCTCCTCCGTTCCTGAACAGAGAAATATTGTAATACCATTGCCCGACCCTGTCACATAGGACAGCTATCGATAGATAACTAAATGCTATTTGTGTAGGAGTTGGAGTGGGCCATTCTGCCCGCATTTGCATCTCTGCGGCCGAGAGCATGCTGGCGGCCGGCGCCCCGGGCGAGGGCGCGACCGAGGCGGCGCGCGGGCTGTGCTCGGGTTTGCATCTCTACGGCCGGGAACGCGCCGGCGGCCGGCGCCCCGGGCGAGGGCGCTACCGAGGCGGCGCGGGGAGTGCTCAGTGTTCGGGAGGGATTCTGATGGTTACTGCTGTGTCGGACGGTTGTCCAGGTCGAGCTGTCCAGTGCTCGCGATGTGATATTGCTTGGTGTCACTCACAATACAGCAAAGTCAATGCATCATTCGCTTTGCAACAACACGGTCTACAACACGGTCTACATTGGTGGCAGCGGTGAGTCCCAATTCATTTGGACCATGAGCCTTTACACCCTGTTCGTTGATCGGCCATGATACCGTATTTTTTTCGGTGATCTGCTGCCGTGGCCGTGCTGCTGACGTGCTGCCGTGACCGCTGCTGACGTGCTGCCGTGGCCGCTGCTGCCGTGCTGCCGTGGACGCTGCTGATCTGCTGCTGCCGTTGCCGCTGCTGGCGTGCTGCCGTGGCCGCTGCCGACGTGCTGCCGTGGCCGCTGCTGATCTGCTGCCGTGGTCGCTGCTGACGTGCTGCTGTGGCCGCCGCTGACGTGCTGCCGTGGCTGCTGATGTGCTGCCGTGGCCGCTGCTGACGTGCTTCCGTGGCCGCTGCTGACGTGCTGCCGTGGCCGCTGCCGACGTGCTGCTGTGGCCGCTGTTGATCTGCTGTCGTGGTCGCTGCTGATCTGCTGCCGTGGCCGTGCCGCTGACGTGCTGCCGTGGCCGCTGCTGACGTGCTGCCGTGGACGCTGCTGATCTGCTGCTGCCGTTGCCGCTGCTGGCGTGCTGCCGTGGCCGCTGCCGACGTGCTGCCGTGGCCGCTGCTGATCTGCTGCCGTGGTCGCTGCTGACGTGCTGCTGTGGCCGCTGCTGACGTGCTGCCGTGGCTGCTGATGTGCTGCCGTGGCCGCTGCTGACGTGCTTCCGTGGCCGCTGCTGACGTGCTGCCGTGGCCGCTGCCGACGTGCTGCTGTGGCCGCTGTTGATCTGCTGTCGTGGTCGCTGCTGATCTGCTGCCGTGGCCGTGCCGCTGACGTGCTGCCGTGGCCGCTGCTGACGTGCTGCCGTGGACGCTGCTGATCTGCTGCCGTGGTCGCTGCCGATCTGCTGCCGTGGTTGCTGCTGACGTGCTGCCGTAGCCGCTGCTGACGTGCTGCCGTGGACGCTGCTGATCTGCTGCCGTTGCCGCTGCTGGCGTGGCCGCTGCCGACGCGTTATGCGCCAAACTCCATATAGAAGCGGACATTGGGGTTCAGATTGTTATTATGAGTAAAATATAAGTCATTTTCTTCATTAAACGGTTGTTTCTCTATGCGGCGATCATTTATGAAGCACGCCACACTTAGTTACCAACGAGCGATATCATAATAGCTCCATTTTTGGCAGTATACTGGCTGCGGCCGAGTGCGACGGTGGCGCCGACTATCGGCTACTCGTGCAACTAGGCCTCGCGGTGGCTCCGGCGGCCAAACTTCAGATGAAAACGTCCCTGTGTGGAGACTTAACGATAAACTGAAAAATGCGATATAATGCAATTAAATTCAGTAATATGCGTTTACCCTGACGTATTTTTTACCAATATTCGGGGAGAATTGGCACCGGGATTTGGCAGGAGAAGATAAAATGTTTATGAACATTCCAAATTGTATTATACCTACATTGCATTGTCAAAATATGTCTCAATATATGCGAGACGTCATGCTGTTTGCAGTAGTATAGCGAAATTGTTTCATGAAAGACTCAATACAAATATAACGGGAGTGATGTATCTTAATTTCATTTGGTGGTGCAAATATTTTTTTCTTCCATGTCCCGATCCCGGGTCGAATTTTTCTCTCCTATGGATAAAAAGTGCAGAGATGTGTTGCTCAGTTAGTGAGCTACAGCGTAGTATAGCGACATTTTTATGCAAGCTGCCTATTTTTTCATACTGTGCTAGTTTCCACGAAAATCCGTGCATACACTGACCAATATTTTTTTCTTCCATGGCCAGATCCCAGGTCCAATTTTTATCCGCTATGGATAAAAAATGCATAAATATGTTGCTCAGATGGTAATCTACAGCGTAGTATAGCGACATTTTTATGTAACTACCCTATTTTTTCATACTGTGCTCATTTCCACGAAAATCCGTGCTTACGCTGACCAACATTTTTCTCTTCCATGGCCAGATCCCAGGTCCAATTTTTATCCGTCATGGATAACAAATACATAGATATGTTGCTCAGATAGCGAACTACAACGTAGTATAGCGACATTTTTATGTAACTTCCCTATTTTCTCACACTGTGCTCATTTCCACGAAAATCCGTGCTTACACTGACCAACATTTTTTTCTTCCATGGCCAGATCCCGGGTCCAATTTTTATCCGCCATGGATAAAAAATACATAAATATGTCGCTCAGATGGTGAACTATACCGTAGTATAGCGACATTTTCATGTAACTTTCCTATTTTTTCACACTGCGCTATCACCCATCAAAATCCGTGCTCTCACCGACCTTAGTTCTCTGGCGTTGCCGATAGGCGGCGCTGGCGTCGCGTCCCGCGCTATGGCCGCGCCTGGCGCATAACGGTGCTGCTGTGGCCGCTGCTGACGTGCTGCTGTGGCCGCTGCTGATCTGCTGCCGTGGTCGCTGCTGACGTGCTGCTGTGGCCGCCGCTGACGTGCTGCCGTGGCTGCTGATGTGCTGCCGTGGCCGCTGCTGACGTGCTTCCGTGGCCGCTGCTGACGTGCTGCCGTGGCCGCTGCCGACGTGCTGCTGTGGCCGCTGTTGATCTGCTGTCGTGGTCGCTGCTGATCTGCTGCCGTGGCCGTGCCGCTGACGTGCTGCCGTGGCCGCTGCTGACGTGCTGCCGTGGACGCTGCTGATCTGCTGCTGCCGTTGCCGCTGCTGGCGTGCTGCCGTGGCCGCTGCCGACGTGCTGCCGTGGCCGCTGCTGATCTGCTGCCGTGGTCGCTGCTGACGTGCTGCTGTGGCCGCTGCTGACGTGCTGCCGTGGCTGCTGATGTGCTGCCGTGGCCGCTGCTGACGTGCTGCCGTAGCCGCTGCTGACGTGCTGCCGTGGACGCTGCTGATCTGCTGCCGTTGCCGCTGCTGGCGTGGCCGCTGCCGACGTGCTGCTGTGGCCGCTGCTGACGTGCTGCTGTGGCCGCTGCTGATCTGCTGCCGTGGTCGCTGCTGACGTGCGGCTGTGGCCGCCGCTGACGTGCTGCCGTGGCTGCTGATGTGCTGCCGTGGCCGCTGCTGACGTGCTTCCGTGGCCGCTGCTGACGTGCTGCCGTGGCCGCTGCCGACGTGCTGCTGTGGCCGCTGTTGATCTGCTGTCGTGGTCGCTGCTGATCTGCTGCCGTGGCCGTGCCGCTGACGTGCTGTCGTGGCCGCTGCTGACGTGCTGCCGTGGCCGCTGCTGATCTGCTGCCGTGGTCGCTGCTGACGTGCTGCTGTGGCCGCTGCTGACGTGCTGCCGTGGCTGCTGATGTGCTGCCGTGGCCGCTGCTGACGTGCTTCCGTGGCCGCTGCTGACGTGCTGCCGTGGCCGCTGCCGACGTGCTGCTGTGGCCGCTGTTGATCTGCTGTCGTGGTCGCTGCTGATCTGCTGCCGTGGCCGTGCCGCTGACGTGCTGCCGTGGCCGCTGCTGACGTGCTGCCGTGGACGCTGCTGATCTGCTGCCGTGGTCGCTGCCGATCTGCTGCCGTGGTTGCTGCTGACGTGCTGCCGTAGCCGCTGCTGACGTGCTGCCGTGGACGCTGCTGATCTGCTGCCGTTGCCGCTGCTGGCGTGGCCGCTGCCGACGTGCTGCTGTGGCCGCTGCTGACGTGCTGCTGTGGCCGCTGCTGACGTGCTGCCGTGGACGCTGCTGATCTGCTGCCGTGGTCGCTGCTGATCTGCTGCCGTGGTCGCTGCTGACGTGCGGCTGTGGCCGCTGCTGACGTGCTGCTGTGGCCGCTGCTGACGTGCTGCTGATCATCTGATCAACGGTCTCGGCCGGCGGCTGTAGCTGAGTGGCCGTCAGCCTGTTCGGCGACGACCTGGTTCTCCTTTCCAGAAAGATAAGTGTTATTTTTTTACTATACCGTGTCTTGCTCTTGTGCTTTGCATTGTGTGTTGTCTCTATGCTCAAACGGGAGAGTGGGTTTTTGGAAGCCGAGTCCCCTGGTAAGCCTTCTGTTTGCCAAGAGAGTGGAAAGATGGCTGCGGGAGGGTTTTCAATGAAGGCGCCTGAGTTTTCTGGGACGGAGCCTTTTTCTCGGTTTAAGTCTGATTTGGACACATACTACACCATTCACGAGTTCAATGATGACCTAAAATTACGATTTCTGCCACTTTGTCTCAAGGGAGTGGCACGGGACGCGTTCGAGGCACTGTCTGAGGAATGCAGGAGTTCTTACGACCGGGCCATCGCAGGATTGTCTAATTGTTTCGTAAAGCCTTGCGCACTTGACGCTCATGCCAGGCTCAGGAACCTTCGGTTCGATTCGTCCATGTCACTGGACTCTTTCATCATTGAGTTCAAACACTTGATGACTGTGGCGTTCCCTGGGCCGATAAGTGATCAGGTGTTGTTTCACTCCTTTCTGCCCACCCTCCCGGTGAAGTATCAGGAGCACATCCTGTCCTTGGGACTGGTTGATTTTGATGAGGCAGTTAAGGGTGTCAGAAACCTCATGAGAAGTGAGCGTGTTCAGGGTTCCGCGCAGGGATCTGTGAGACAGGTGAGCGCTGATCCTGACCTGCTGCGGCAGATCCTGGACAGGATTGCCACCCTGGAGCAGCGCGTCAGTCAGGGTCTGGTCGTCCGGGGAA